ATAATACTAACCGTTGATTTATCCAGACGAAGCCCCAGATTCGTTGATAAAGATGATCCAGAAGAAACGAAGATATTTTAATYCACACTTTCGACCATGACAATATTTTAATCGAAACGCAAATCCTCTTCTACCGAATTGGCCGAAAGTGTGTTAATGATTCTAATCGTGTACCGAGCAAATTATTTTTTTAACAAGAATATTTTAATTAATTCTTGCATTGATTTTAAATAAACGATTTAATTACTTTTAAAGCAATCTATGCGATTGCATAACAAGAAATGCATCATTTTTCGAAACAAACACTGACTCTATGATTGCATTGCACGCAATCGCAACTGAAGATCTGAAATTGAAAGTTTAGTTAAAGCAAGTCGTAGCGTACTTCTGTTTATATTTTTATTATGTTATTAATAAAAAATATATTAATCGTTTTATAATTCACAAATTATTTAAACTACATATTCCAAAAATTCTGGAATCGTGATACTATTTTTGTATGCTTTAATTATTAATAAAAAAAAAAATTATTCAAAAGATGCAACTACAAACTTGTAAACTACATAAAAAAAAAATAAGATAAAACACAAACGAACAAATATCGCGTTGCATTCTATCTTTCAATGAATAAATTTAATCGCGATATGGTTATTTTTACAGAAGTATRCTAATTGCGTTAATACCTATAGAAAAGAATAGATATAGCATTAATGTAAAACTTAACAAGGTACAATATTTATAAACAATCATTTAAACAATTAATTAAAATCTCGATTGTACGTGTGTCTTGAATTATTTATATGAATTTAATATACCATAAGAAATAAAATGAATTTATATTAATAAAATTTAAAGAACAATTGCAACGCGTAATTAAATAATTAATTCACAATAAATCATTTCATTTGCATTACTATTAATTAACGAAACGAGAAGTTAAAATTTTCTAATGCACCGAACGTCAGCCATTGGCCCGACAGTGCTTACGTTGMACCATAYHAATTCTATGRACACCATAAGCAATATCGGTTACCGGATCTCACCACGGGGAGGTTGCTGCGTCGGAGATCCATTTTAAAATAAAAGAAAGGAAATAAATAAATGTACTTGCACGTATATGTATGCAGTTGTACCAGTATTCCACCATTGATTAGTATAATTTCCATGGAGAACGATGGTGAACGTCTTTCTGAAACCATAAAAAGAATAAAAGATTATGGTAAAAATGTTTGTGAAATAATAGAAAAATATTAGATCATATAATTTTAATTACAGATCTTCTTACCT